AAGGATAAATGAGCCATTTATTACACGTGAGTTTACAGAGGAAGAGGTTCTATTTCAACTGTCAAAAGTAAAGACAAATAAGTCAATGGGATCTGATGGAATACACCCAAAGCTATTAAAAGAGCTTAGTGGTGTACTAGCAACACCATTAACAGATTTATTTAACCAATCATTGTTAACAGGAGTAGTCCCAGAAGATTGGAAGTTAGCGAATGTTGTGCCCATTTACAAGAAAGGTAATAGGGAGGAGTCGGGCAACTATAGGCCAGTAAGCCTTACTTCAGTAGTGGGGAAAGTGATGGAAACCATGTTAAAGGATAGGATTGATGAACATCTAAAACACATGGATTTCAAGATCAGAGACAACATGGGTTTACTTCAGGGAGATCATGCCAAACTAATCTTATTGATTTTTTTGATTGGGTAACTAAAACTATAGATCAGGGTGGTGCAGTAGACATTGCTTACCTAGATTTCAGTAAGGCTTTTGACACTGTTGCACATAGAAGGCTTATCAATAAACTGCAATCTTTAAGTTTGATTCAAATATTGTTGAATGGGTAAGGCAGTGGCTGAGTGACAGGCAACAGAGGGTTGTAGTTAATGGAATATATTCGAAGCTTGGACTTGTCACCAGTGGGGTACCTCAGGGATCTGTACTTGGACCCATTCTCTTTAATATTTTTATTAGTGATATTGCAGAAGGTCTTGATGGTAAGGTATGTCTTTTTGCTGATGATACTAAGATATGTAACAGGGTTGATGTTCCAGGAGGGATAAGCCAAATGACAAATGATTTAGGTAAACTAGAAAAATGGTCAGAATTGTGGCAACTGACATTTAATGTGGATAAGTGCAAGATAATGCATCTTGGACGTAAAAACCCAAGGGCAGAGTACAGAATATTTGATAGAGTCCTAACCTCAACATATGAGGAAAGGGATTTAGGGGTGATTATTTCTGATGACTTAAAGGTAGGCAGACAATGTAATAGAGCAGCAGGAAATGCTAGCAGAATGCTTGGTTGTATAGGGAGAGGTATTAGCAGTAGAAAGAGGGAAGTGCTCATGCCATTGTACAGAACACTGGTGAGACCTCACTTGGAGTATTGTACACAGTACTGGAGACCGTATCTTCAGAAGGATATTGATACCTTAGAGAGGGTTCAGAGAAGGGCTACTAAACTGGTTCATGGATTGCGGGATAAAACTTACCAGGAAAGGTTAAAGGATCTTAACATGTATAGCTTGGAGGAAAGACGAGACAGGGGGGATATGATAGAAACATTTAAATATATAAAGGGAATCAACACAGTAAAGGAGGAGACTATATTTAAAAGAAGAAAACTACCACAACAAGAGGACATAGTCTTAAATTAGAGGGACAAAGGTTTAAAAATAATATCAGGAAGTATTACTTTACTGAGAGGGTAGTGGATGCATGGAATAGCCTTCCAGCTGAAGTGGTAGAGGTTAACACAGTAAAGGAGTTTAAGCATGCATGGGATAGGCATAAGGCTATCCTAACTATAAGATAAGGCTAGGGACTAATGAGTTTTTAGAAAATTGGGCAGACTAGATGGGCCGAATGGTTCTTATCTGCCGTCACATTCTATGTTTCTATGTTTCTATATATTGGGTTATGATCCAGATTCAGGATGGGATTGGTCTAAGGTTCCCTCGGTGTCTACATTGGACTCTAGCACTACCATAGGTGGTGAGGAGCCCTATGTATTGTTCACACAAGAAGAGCAAGATAAAATGTGGGAAGAGATAACAGCAGAAATGTCTAGGCTATGGAAGGATAAACAGTCTATGTCAACAGCTTTGGCATGTAAACAAGGTCAGAAAGAAAGTGTGTCAGAGTTTGTCAAGAGATTTTACAAGTGTTGGAAAGAGGATGCTGGTTTGAAATCAGGTGAGGATATGGATCCATTAAAAATTCAAACTTGTTTGGGAAACATGTTGCCACCATATTCTCTGCTTGTCAAACAATTGTTTTCAGAATGGCCAGGATTGTCTAGCAGGGATTTCTTTGTTAAAATTGTGGAAAAAGACAATGCAGGATGTTTTGATATAAAGAAAGAAGGTAGCACTAAGATGTACTATAATCAAGGATTGTAACATTGCAACCCCTCTCAGGCTAGAAATAGAGGTTGGGACAGAGAACATAGGATATACCCGAGAGGAGGGCAAAGAGGCAGAGGAAGAGGCAGGGGATTTGGGGCCCAGTTGGGAGGACAGAGGTATCAGAGAGGAGGGGGGGCGACCAGGAGGCCCTGGAGGTTTGGACGGGTTACATTGTTTCAATTGTGGCCAAAGTGGGCATTGGCGAAATGAGTGTCCAAACCTCCCTCAAAACTCCCAGTATGGTAACCAGAATGCTACATTACCTGCTCCCCAGATTACCACCGCCATCAACCCAACATCTCACACACCGCTGACACCTCCACACCCCACTCATCATGTCCCATGGCCACAATAGGGCTGCCCCTGAAGGTAACACTCCAGCTTTTCCTCTCTTATATCCTACTAGTAACGATCAGCCATTTTGTGTCCTGGTAATTGATGGCGTGTCACTGCCATTTTTGGTGGATACTGGAGCTACTTGTAGCCGTTTGTGCGAGACTTACTATCAGGGGAAAAGGGAAAGGTCTAGACCTTCAGTAGGTATCAATGGAGTGTCTACCACCACATTTATTACACCACCATTGTCGGTTTTCTCTCCTTGGAATGGTATTTCGACTGTTTTTTCTTTTCGATTGATACCTGGCTGTCCTGTAAATCTGTTAGGGAAAGACCTTGGTATTATGGGCGCTACTATTGTCTGTACTCCTGCTGGTGGTATTGATCTTTCTATGTTGTTATCTATCCCGGATTTGTCTAGCATTCCTTCCACTGTGTGGGCATCCTCCAAGTTGGATGTAGGTTTTGTAAATTGTACCCCTTACAGAGCTAAGCTAAAACCTGGTGTCACACCCATATATCTTAAACAATACCCATTGTCAGATCAAAAGAAGGATGGTATTCGTCCTATGATTCAATCATTCCTACAACAGGGCATATTGAGACCAGTAGTCTCACTATATAACACTCCTATCAATACCGTACCAAAGAATGATGGTTATAGGTTGGTACAGGATTTTCGAGCCTCGAATGGCTTAATTGTACCTATTGCCCCTATTGTATAGGATGTAACTACTCTTATTACAGCCATTCCACATGATGCCACCTGCTTTACTGTTATTGATTTAAGTAATGCATTTTTTTCTATACCTATTGATCAAGAGACACAACTACTTATGGCTTTTACTTTTGAAGGCTGTCAGTATACGTGGACATGCCTACCCCAAGGCTATGTGGATTCACCAGCTGTTTATTCTCTGGTGCTCCAACAAACTCAACTATCCCTCACCAATCAGCCCAAGCTGCGGAATTAGTAGCTCTAACTCGTGCCTGTCAGTTGTTTACTGGCAAATATGTTAATATCTATACTGATTCCAGATATGCACATGGAGTTGTACATGATTTCGGTGTAATTTGGAAACAGAGGTTTTGCCAGTGCTGATGGGAATTTCTCATACCTCCCTCATTACTTCTCTTTTGGATGCTATTTAGCTCCCTTTAGAAGTGGCTATCATTCATTGTAGAGCACATACACAGGGACAAGTCAAAGTATCTAAAGGAAATGCACTAGCTGACAGGGCAGCAAAGGAAGCAGCTCAGAGCACCACATATTACAAAATGGTCTTCCCTACTCTCCTTAACCCACCCTGTTACTCCTCAGAGATGTTGTTCTCTCATTTACAAGATTTTGCTACTGAAGATATTGCCTTTTGGCTTTCACAAGGTTTAGAGAAAGATAAATTTGATCTTTACTCTAAAGAGAGTAAGATGGGTATACCTGAGGCAAGTTCCCCCATATTTATCAGCCAAGCACACGGATCCGGACATAGGAGTATAACTAACACCATACAATTCCTTATGGATTCTTTTTATATCCTCAATTTAAAAGATAATGTACGCACATTTATACAGCTTTGTGAATAATGTGCGAGGGCCAATCCTAACATCCCTGGGAAACCATCCCATGATCATTTGCCCCCACCCATGGCACCATGCACACACCTGCAGGTTGATTTCACTCATATACCTAAAACAGGTCATAAACAACAATATCTTTTAGTAATAATAGATCAATTTAGTAGGTGGCCTGAAGCTTTTGTAACCAATAAAGAAGATGTGAAAACTGTGGTGAAAATACTCGCTACAGAAATAATACCCAGGTATGGTTGTCCTTTACAGATTAATTCTGATAACGGACCGGCTTTTGCTAGTAAGGTCACTCAAGAACTTGTTAAATGGCTAAAGGTGACATGGAAGTTTCATATACCCTATCACCCTCAGAGCTCAGGGGTAGTTGAAAGGATGAATAGGACTATCAAAGAGAAACTCATGAAGACAACTACAGGGACATGGGTTAATTGGCAATAGTATCTTCCAGCAATTTTGGCTGAGATACGAATGACCCCCCCATAAGGTTACCAAATGATCTCCTTTCGAGATCCTAATGGGTATACCATTTCCTACACAATGGGCCAGGGAACCATTAGTCATTATGCCTGGTGATTTAGAGCTAATCCAGGAACATTATGTTAAGGAATTGTTGATAAAGTTGAATGGTATATATTGCAATGTTTCTTCGCAGTTTCCTTTACCTTCACAAGAATCTACCCATCCCTATCAACCTGGAGACTCGGTGTGTATCCAACAGTTGAACAGGACAAAGAAAGGAGGCTTTCCATTTGGTCCCCCAACCACTGTCATTGCTGTGACCCGCACTGCAGTCCTAACCGACTCCCAAGATCTGTTTATTCATGCATCCCGAGTAAAACCGTGCCCAAAGAGGGGAGCCAAGACGCGACTGGAGCGTCCAGAACCCGTTGTATCTGAACCAACTGCTGTTCTTCTGTGTGACATACCATGGCTCAAATAAGGAGAAAAAGACAAAGTGGCCACCTCATAAAAAGCAAAATCATAATTTTGGCAGTCATCACCTTTATCTTTGTATTGCCTTTTACTAGCTATCTGGATTGCCATTATGAATAAGAGAACTTAGGCAATCTGAAACCAGTGTGCTTTTGGAAACATAATGGATCTCTTCAAGAGACCAAAGAAACAATGGACAATTCTTCATTATCCTCTGGAGCCCAATTAGGCCTTAACTTTTCATCTAGTGTAAGACACCCCTGTTCCCCAGATACTGAATGCACATCTGAAGATCCCCATGAGTATCAAATTGAACTGAACAGTAAGGGGAAGGCTGTGGCTACTTGGGTATTATATATACCTGGTTATATTTGCACATATACCAGAAAACCATATACACAACAGTTCAAGATGTTCACAGAAGGGAATTGTGCCATGGAAATAACTAGTAATACTAATGATAGATCTTTGTATTCATATCTGTCCCAGTCATGGGAACATATTTTCCCAATTCACCATATTATTTCCAAGACAAATCTACCATTGATAGAACCATGATGTATATTCCTCCAAAATTGCCACTAGACGATTATCAGTTACCCAAAGAAAATATAACTGCGTTGATAAAAGCTAGAATGGATATGTTCAAATATTTTAGAACACATGAAAAGGACATTATCCATACACTAATTGCCACACACCTTCTCAAGAGCAAACTATTGAAAGTAAGTTCATAAATCCAGGATGACTTGGCTCATCACTGGTATGATATATTCACAGGTTGGTCCCCCACAGGTGCTCAAATTGTTAGATCATTCTTCTATCCGTTGGTAATAGTTGTATTTGTAATGCTACTTATGATTCTGTACAATTGTTATCTTACCTGTACCCTGAAAAATAAGATTCAAAGGTTGATTACTACTGCCGAGGACAAACAGCTGGATACTCTCCTCCGTGCTAGGTCGTAGGGTATCGTCCTGAGGGAACCGTGGTGAAGAACTAACTAAAGTCCTGCAGGATTGACTATCAATCCTGAATATACCTCAGGACTTCACAATGTGAATATAGATGTGATCAATAGATTGAACAAAGAGGGGACTGAAGGGTTAAACCATACACATTGTCTGTATTCATGCTGACTCTATTTTGTTACAAGACATACTTTTAACTAAGTCATTTCCTTGACCTCTCCTCTTGTGCTTCAAGAGGATCCTGTGATTTAGTATTTAGTATTAGTGTATTGCTCTTTTTTGTATGTTTGTAGTTTCCCGTCATATGCCTTCAGAAATGAATGGACATTGTCTCTTAGCATGCAATATTGTACTATATAAGAAATGCAAAGCATGGCATTAAATTGTGAACCTTGAATAGCTGACTTGATGTGTGTTGCCTCCGTGCTTTCAATAGTCTCCCTCAATATAAAAGACAGAGCAGTGAATATTCCAAGTGGTGGGCAGTGGACGCTGAGATAGAGGAAAAAAACACTTCCAAAGGAAAAGGATTGTTTAACCCTATCACCGACATCACTACAAAGGACCCGCGTGAGGGAGCAGTGGGGAGAAGGAAGGGAGACTGTCAGGATCCTATCCTGACAATTCAAAAACATGTTTCATTTCTTCTGTTTTATTTAATTACAGTTCCAGTTTTCACCACTAGCCGCCTCCCTAGCCACTAGTCACCTCAGTCTCTCTCACCTGTGTGGCATGATTTACATCTGCTATAAAAGTCCACACCCAACAAAACCAGGTTGCCTTTACATTGAGAGAAGTTGTGTTCTGAAACCTGACAAGTTTTCTGCTCCTGGCTCTTTCTAAAGGAAACCTGCACTACCCTTGCTTACCTTCAACCATCCTGATTCATCCAAATATCCTGCTTTATTTCTATACTGGACTTTGTTTTCATATTGATTTCCTCCCAACCTGCCTGGATAATATCGACATTCTTATTATTTGTAAGTCTCCTCAAACACCCTGGAACTGCAGTACTGATTAGAAACCAAAGAGGCTGATCACCTCAATTGCTGCTTTAACCTGTTTAACTTTATCCTTTATATTCCTGTTTAGTTTTATCTAATTGTTTCCCTGTCTCCTGTAAACCTGTTTTGGGGCATGTGTCCGGGCTGCCTAAACTCAAATTGCTTTGTTTCAAATGTGTGGATGTGCCCTCCTGGAATGTGTGTTTCCCCTCTTTCATAATCCCCTTTCTGTAATTTTAACCATAAAATCCTGCAATATACCTTTTAACTTCCCGGGGGCGCTTCGTTTAGAACATTTACTTAGAACGTTAGCGAGGTGTGAAAACCGCAGACCGCAAGGGAATGCCCACCAGGGGGAGCATTCGTCTTCCGAACCGGACTGCGTACACTGTCTTCGATTCCGGTGTCAGGGACCATCCTACCCGCTCTCCAGCGGAGCTACAATCACTCATCCCGTCTTTCCCTATCCTACCCACTCCCCAATGGAGCTCTAGCCCCTCATTCCTTTCCCTTACCTGGGAGCTACGAGGCTATGCTCGTGGCTGCCCAGGAGAATGCTCTCTCTGGTGGATACCTGTGTGGGGATAACCACTGGAGAGAGGGATGTGAGTTGGTCTCACGGCTGCAGGGTCCCACTGGCCGCGTGGATAGTCCATGCCGACCAATGGGAGAGGGAGCGCCCATCCAAACTGGGATCGCGCCATTCTCCTGGTTGGTCGGCACAAATAACTGGTCTGACCTATTCTAACCAAAGGGGATAGCCAGCGAGGTTACCCAGGTCCCGCTACAGGGCATATTGCATAAACATCTATATTATTATTCACCTGTAATTCTGTTTCTAGGTTCTGCTTTCCCTCTTTGTCTTTATTATACCTTTTCCTCTTTCTCCTGTTATTCTTATTATTACCTTTGTCTAACCATGTCTAATAACTCCAATAAAGTACCTGAAGTCATCCCCTGCATAAGTCTCCTCTCTGACCTGATCAGAACTAGGACAGAGACCTCCAGAGAGAACATCCCCACTGGACCCTAGGGAGAGGCCCTACACCAGCTCCCAAAGGTAGGGAGCAATAAATAAACTGATTTGTGAGTGTGTGCAAGAATGTGTGTGTGTGTGTCCTCTTCCCTGGCCGGGTAAATTTTAGCAGAGTGGGCACCTGCAATGTGGGGAGAGCCTTAGCAGTAAGGATGTCAAACTCATGGCTCACTGAGCCACAAAGAAATTCATTGTGGGCCGCATGCGGGCTGTGAGTTTCACATGCTTGCTGTAGAGGCTACTTAATTATATAAGAATATTGTAATAAGGTTTAAACTTAGTATTAAATCAAGTTAACATTCATTACCAACAAGGTAGCAAAAAAGTAGTAGTTAGGAGTTGGATGAATAATAGATGAGGGCAGCTGGCAGAAAGAAGTAGGTAGATCGTTCAATCCTACCTTTAGGAAGTGAAAGACCTTTTTAATAATTCCCAAACGTCACTCCGGGTCAACAGAAAACTACGGGTTAGGCTAGCTCAAAGGGACATTCCAGGTGATCTTGTTGAACCTCTAAGAGGTCTAAGTATGAGTAAGTTAATCAAAGTATCCATTGGGAATATACAAAGAATATAAAATGTATAGTTTGAAAAAACATACACCCAGGGGGCGCCACAATCACAAAACGTGCATATATTTACCATAAGTATATTGAGATGGACATGAAAGAGAATAAAAAGCACATATAGTGAAGTATTTAATAACAACAAATAACAGAATAAAAATCACAATATACACTCACAAAAAAGATGGCACAAAGAGACATATATCTCAATTTGTGCAAAACGGTAATTCATTTATAGAATTTTCCAGTTGTCACCATCCAAATTGGTTACGTAATATACCAAAAGGTCAACATACAAGACTCCTGAGGAACTGTACTAATAAAATAGATTTTAATGAACAGGTCGAAATTCTTCACGAAAAATTTAAAAATAGAAATTATCCGCTTCAATTGCTAGACGAATCCAAAAAAGAACTAGAGAACAAAGATAGGACCATTCTTTTAAAAAGTAATAATAAGAAATCTTTCGATAACAAAAAAACTCTTAATAAGAAAAATAGAGATTTTGGTACTTGCTTTATTACAAGATATAATAATAAAGCTAATCAGATAGAAAAATTATTAAAAATTGTTGGCCTATTTTAAAGCAGGATCAGTATTTGAAGAATATTTTACCTATTAAACCACAGATTATTTATAAAAAGACTCAAAATGTGAAATCCTTCCTAGCACCGAGCACTTTACCTCGTATTAATACCGTAAAAACCATAACATTTCCAGATAAAACCACAGATAATTTTTTTAAGGGAGAAACCTAAAGGTTTCTTCAGATGTGGAGGCTGCAGTACATGTAAATTTCAGAAACAAAAGACAGTGGAATTTAAGGGTACTGCGACAAAAGAAATATACAAAATTAAACATTTTATAAACTGCCAAACAACAAATGTCATTTATCTTTTAGAATGTAAATGCGGTATTCAATATGTAGGACGAACAAAAAGGAAATTGCACGTTAGAATCCTGGAACATTTCAATGGTATTAAAAGAGGAAATATGAAACATTGTGTCCCTAGACACTGTTTAAATTGTCCTTATTTTAATTTCCAGGATTTTAAATGTATAGGAATAGATTTGGTCACCCCCCACTGGAGAGGAGGGGATATTGAGAAAACCTTGGCCATGAAGGAAACGGAGTGGATACATAGGTTAAAAACCTCCTCTCCTCTTGGTTTAAATGCAGATATAGATTTATTAGTTTTTATGGACTGATGCTATTAATATTCCTCTGTTTTATTCATTTATTTTATTCCTCCTCTATAAAAATTATCCATTTTATTGATCTCCTTCGTTTGATATTCTTGATATATATATATATATATATATATATATATATATATATATATATCTATCTTTTTTTATTTTTTACTTTTCTAATTTACTTTTTTAATTTATATAGTTTTTTTACACTATTTTATAATTCTTTGGTGCCTTTAACATGTTCCCCTAGTTTGGAGACCCCTATCAGGGGCACCCTTGTTATGGAAAATAAAAGAGATGAGACAGCGCTAAATAACTTCTGCAGCAACCTTAAAAAGGGAATCCCTCAAACCCTATAAAACAAGATAAAAAAATAAAAACAATAAAAGGCTGCACACGTAAAATAGAGTCCAATAGAAGGGGAAAAGAGAGAAAAGTCCAACTGGTATATTCTTACAGGTGTCCTTGGTTGGTGGGATCTTCTATTTATATGGTGATTTCACTCGTTTATGAAAGATAAAAAGAGGAAAAAAGGGACATCTAATGGTGTAGTATGTAAAATACAGGTATAAACGTAAAAATAATAGTATAAAACTCACATTTACCAGAGCTAATGTCCAGCTCTGGAGTGCAGCGTGTACAGCGGTTTAATCCCCGCTTATGGGATATAAAGCAGGTTCCTCTCCGAGGGAATGGTATCCAATTCTCGGGATAAAACAAACAGCCAATAGTGCTCACTGTATGGCAAATAATAATAAAATAATAAAAGAAATGTACTTACAAAGAAAGAGCAGACCCACTGCTCTTTTTTGATGGCTTGGGTGGATTGATCCCCACCTACGGATTTCTTTGGGTACAGGAAACTTCCAGGAATTTATGGGATATCTCTTTAGAAAGAAATAATTGGTTACTGTAAAAAGAGATGAGGTCTCTTTAAGAAAACGTTTATTTTTAACCTTTGCCTTTTAGATTCTCTTTGCATACAGATTGCCTGAAAATAGACTCACTACCAAAAGGATTTTTAATTATTCACTTATGTGATGTATTTTTTTTCTGTTTATTAGCGATTTTTATTATGTATTTTACTATGTCTTTGATGATTACATGTATAAATAAAGTTTATTTTAAGTTTCCTGCGCGCATGTGCGGTAGCGTGCAGCGATCACGTGTGCCGCAATGTTCACAGGTAGATTGCAATAAAGTTGGTTTGCGTGTCAGGATGGAAAGAAACGCGCAAAAATTAAGATTTAAAAAGACAGAAGCAATCTAAGGAAACACAGCTCTTGAAAAAGTCAGACGGACGAAACGCGTTGAGCAGAGGCTTGCCAGCACTCCCCTGAAAAAGACTTCACTTTCTCTCTGCCTGGGACTCTCCATCTAGGAGGCATTGACAGTGGATTTGTATCCAGAAGTGTTGAAAAGCGTTTTTGCACAAATTGAGATATATGTCTCTTTGTGCCATCTTTTTTGTGAGTGTATATTGTGATTTTTATTCCATTATTT